CATGTCCCCTGTTCATTTCTGTTTTCTTCTTCTTATTCTTTTTATTCTTATCATCATCACGTTACTTGCTTGCCAAAAACAGAATCTTACTTATATTACCCGATGATTAATGCACATTGGTTGCATTTATCATTTAAATCCTTTGCAAAATTGTATTTCACAATTGTTTATTAGATTTTGATTATAACAACGTGTGATCCCTGTTGTAATTTGTTTTAATTAATCTACGACTAGACGGTGGTGGTGGTGGAATCGATAAAAGGGGAGGAGTGCATTCTCGAAAGCCCCATTTCCCACAGTCCACATGGTTCCCTCAGTCAAGAACCGAGAATGATTTTCCCTATTTTCAGACGAATACCCAGCAGACCGACCCCAACCCCCTCCGACCACCACCCCACATTAAATCGGCTAAGAAAAATTGTAATTTTTCGAGTGTGCGCAACGAATCGTCATTGAGCACGCGTCGTTAAATGCAACACGCATACCGGGATACGCGTGTGCGTGTGTGTACCTTTTTTTTTTAATTTCATTTATTTTAATGTGCGTTGGAATTATTTTTATCAAAATATAGTTCAATTATATTAGATCTTTGTGTGTGTGTGTGTGTGTGTTAAGATCAACTAGTAGGAAAAAAAAAGATATCATCGAAAAACTTTCTTTCATTCTCGATTCCGCCCACGCATCGAACTCACTCGTTTCTATCTTGTTAGAATAATTCTTTCTTGTTTTTTTTTTATTTATTGTGTTAATTGTTTATTACACAACGAATTGTCTGTTCCCTATCGTTATTTTTTTGTTCATACGGTTAAATGATAATAAATTTCATTTCTTTTCCCTTTCACTCCCCCCTACGTTTTCCCCCTCTCCCCACCCAGTGTCACCCTTCTCTTTCAATTCTTCGCGCATAATTGTTCAGGAAACGTTAGCGGTAAGTGGATTGAATGGGAAATGTTATTCCGGAAGGACATCATCTTCGTAAAGATGATAAATCGATACGGAACTGTATTTGTCCAAAGTGATGTTAAGTATTTTATCAATGTTTTCATTCATTCGTACGTTCCACACTTGAAATAAAATCAAATATTATATAAAAGACCCTCTTAACGTTACTAACAAATCTATCGGTAAAAAAATGAATATTAAAAATGAACAAATTATACGAAATTATAATATACCTGATATTGTGTAAGAAGAATTTAGAAAGTGTTAAAAAATTGTAAGAAAATTATTCATTCTATTTGACAAACAAACAATCATTTACTTAAACGTTACAATAAAATTGAACAAACCTAAAGATAAAATGTTCGAAAATAATTAAATAAAATTAACACTAAACGTATCTCTCTCATGATTGGTCAATTTCAAAGAAATTGCAAAGATGCACAATTTACAGCATTGCATTCTCTAACATTTTTTGAAGTTTACATGCTAAATTTATAATTTGATATGGTATTCTGCGCGTAGACAAAAGAATGTACTTTAATTTAATATAAAAATCATTAAAATCCATTTGCTAAAAGTATAAAAAATATTTGCCGAAACTTTTCAAAGAAATTGCAAAGATACACAATTTACAGCATTGCATTCTCTGACATTTTCTGAACTTTACATGCTAAATTTATAACTCGATATGGTGTTCTACTCGTAGACAAAAGAGTGTACTTTAATTTAATATAAGTTTTATTAAAATTTATTCACTTTTAGTATAAAAAATAATTACCAAAACTTTTCAAAGCATTTGCAAAGTTGTACAATTTATAGCATTGCAATCTCTGATAACGTTAACACATATATCATAAAACATGATTTTTTGAAGATGGGTCATATGATTTCTTATGATAAAAGCTCAATAAGTTTAGTATCAAGAAACAAAATTAGGATAAGAACACTACTAGCAGTGCATAAATGATATCATAAAATATATAATTGTTCGAAGATGGGTCATATGATCTCTTATGATAGAAATTCAGTACGTTTAGTATTATTAACAAACAAAATTAGGATAAGAACAGTACTAGCACAAATAGAAAAGTCAAAGTAAAGAATATTTGATCATTATGTTCATTTATTATATTTTCAAGGTTTACTAAAAATCATTCTGTCCCTTTAGCGTTCTCTCATTGAACTTATGATGGAATAGAATAGAATAGAAGGAAGAAAGGAAGGAATAAAGGAAGGAAGGAAGGAAGGAAGGAAAGAACGATTGTGGTACGTCGTCTAGGTCGTACGTTATGCTCGAGGGGAACCGCTTCTCAGTGTCCTCTGGTAGGCGTGTCAGAATTGGGAGATGATTTATTCTTTGCGAAGCGGGTAACTGCCGAGATCGTCGACTAAACGACCACGGTCTTTCGTGTATTAACCGTAATGCACTCTGCTTCGCCATTGTGTACACTCAATACCAGAGTTTCTCTATACCTAGTAGAACATTTTCCTATAGAAACAACTTTCGACTTATTTCTTTCTCGGATCCCTCAACGACTCCTTCCTTCCTTCATTCGAAAATATTTTCAGTTACTTTTTTAGAATTTATCTTACCCTAAGATTTATACAACAATCGTTTTTTATAATCTTATCGCACACACTGAAACTTTACAAATTATTTTCCACGATTATAAAATATTCCGATGAATCAATTGTAGATTTGAAATTAGTTAAATTTTAAATGGATAATTAGGAGAGGATTAGAAAAACAAGAGTATCTATTATTTGTACATCTTTCTTCTCTTCTTGATATTCAATTTACCTAATAGATATTTCGATTATAGGAACAACTTTTTGGTTAAACTAGTATTGGATATACTTAATACCAATTTAACTAGTGAACTTTTTCTTAGGAACAATTGATATTGATAAACTATCAAAGTAAACGTTTTCTTATGAACAACATTTTGTTTGAACAGTTACCGATACATTAAATAAACGATTTATACATTGAGATGAGAGAAACCTAAATCTTATTATTCAAATTCTAATAAACCATTTGTTAAATTAGCCAAATGTTAAGTGGAAAATTAGTAGGATTAAAAAAAAAATGAGGAGATTTACTATTCGTACGCCCTTTCTTTGATACGTGATGTATATACATATATATATGTGTGTGTGTGAGAGAGAAAGGAAAGGTTTTTGTGTCGTTTTAGGTTCGAGACGGCATATGGGGTCACGCCCACGAGGTGCTGCTGTTCTCGACCGACAAATTTTCACATTGCTGCATCCCGTCCCCCTTCTCTTCTCTTCTCCTCTCCTCTCCTCTCCTCTCTTCTTTTCAAAAGCAAACCTTATAGCACGCGCCGTAGTAACACTATAACAACAGCCTGCGAAAATGCTAGTCCGCAACCCTGCGGTGTTATCCCGATAATTTCCAACGACGAGGTGATCCCGTGGGAGCCTAACGTTTAACCTTCGACTTAGAAAAGTTGACAAAAGGTTTAGGAAGACGATTCGATGCGACAATATACACGCACATACACACATACACATTGTATTTGATGCGATCAATTTGTCAAAACAATCTTCGTTTCTATCCAAATTATACTGCACCTTTCTTCTTCAATTAATAATAATAATAATAATAATAATAATAATAAT